AAAAACGTACGGTCGAAATTCAGAATACCCTTTTAAAATGAGTTAAAATAACGTAAAGTGGGTGGTGGTAGACTTCTCTTATCCAGCTCTTTCTTGGCAGTCGCCCTGCATAGATCATCATTCCACCGAGCCTGAAGGCATCCTGTACCACGTGTGCTAATTCGCGGTCTCCACTCAAGACATACGTCTCTGGGTTCTGGTAACCACCTGGAAAGCGAGCGAGTTCATTCGTATAAGCAATAAATAAATAAAAATAACTTGACAATATTAGCAAAGACTTAGGTTAAAAAACTTCAATACAAACGAGCTATTTTTTCATTCAAAAGTACCTTCATTCATTATTTAATAACCTATGTATTTACTACTATTACTAATTTTCTTTTTGAATGGGCAATTGTTGCAATCGTGGTGTTGTTATACTCCTATACTTATATGTTTCTAAAGTCTCAATGTCGTTTCCATACGTCAAAACTATTTCGCAGTAAAACGTTGCTTAAGGATTTTATTATGTTGTTCATTGCCAAAGTGTATTCCGACAGAGATATACCGTGAAATTCAAATAAACAAAAAACTATATTTATTTCTATTAATTATTACAAATTGTCTTGATGTATTTTTAATTTGTTTTCATTCTTGGCGTATTGCAAGATGAACTTCTTTGACCAGACTAACCTTGGGACAGGAGGAGGATGAAGAAGCCCCATTTGTGTAGTATTGTATTGTAAAGTAATACACAATATGATAATACCTAACTGTGAGGGCTTCCGATACGCTCTACATACAACCAGTAAAAGTGAATAACCGCTTTAGTTTAATAGATATGCTTCTTAAGTACTTTCTTTTTGTTGCCGGTACCCAACTGTCTTTTTCCAATTCATAACTACACGATGATACAAAAATTAAAAGTGCTTAGAATTGCTTGAATTAAATTGTAATATTCCGAAACATTCATTAATGTGATTCGAAGGTTCTTCTTGTACTAATGCAATAGAAACTTAGATTTTCTCTCAAGTATTTCATTTACTGGATCGAGCGCACTGTGACCTCATACGATGACCTACTCCTATTGTTTCTGCAATCTTTACTGGTGGTACGACATCTTGTGAGTCCGCGCGGGTAGGTGCCACCACCCTGCCTATTTCTACTGTGACGCAGTAATGAGTTTCGGTTTGAAGGGTGGGACAGCCGTTTTAACTACACTGAGACCTTTTTTTTTTTGTCAGGAGGAAATCGCCGGACTCCCACCCTCCACTGGGGATGGAGGCTGACACAGTAATAAGTTTCGGTTTGAAGGGCAGGGTAGCCGTTGTACTGGAAAAACTAAAACCTAAGAACTCATATCTCGAGGTGGGTGGCGGTATTTAGGTCGTAAGTGTCTATGGGCTCCGGTAACAACTCAACACCAGGTGGGCCGTGAGCTCGTCCACCTATCTAGTCATTATAAAAAAAAACAATGATGCGGATTGATGCGTTAAGATTTGGAGGGCGGGACGGACACTCCCTATACAATTTGCTCGGGATACCAACCTCATGCCTTGAGACGAATGGTGGCATTTAAATCGTGATGACTTTTGTAATTCGTTTAAGCCAAAGTAATGCTTTAGAAAAAATAAACGAGGCAGCTTCGGAGTCAAAACTCAGAATACATTGCAATGCAGTATTAATTAGATTTAGCTGTATAGAAACTATTTCTAGTCTAGCTTTCAAAATGTGAAGGTAAACTTGTGTATTTTTAAGATACTATTATATATACAGTATGCGATCGTAGAATGCCTTTTAAGCTCGAAGGGAAAATTTACAAAACGATCATTAGACCTGCCGTGCTGTATGGATGTGAATGCTGAGGGACGAAAGTAAAGCATAAAAGAGGAGTGCATGCGGCAGAGATGGATGTGTGGAGTGAGAAGAATGGACAAGATAAGGAATGAGTATATCAGAGGAAGTGTGAAAGTAGCCCCGGTGATTGACAAATTAAAGAGCGGGCGATTAGCGTGGTATGGACATGTGATGCGTAGAGAGTAGATGCAAGTGACTAGGAGATGTATGGAAAAGGTAGTGCAAGGTAGAGGGGGAAGAGGTCTATAAGAGGACTAGGTATATGAGAGAGAGAGAGAGGAGTGAGTGTCGAGATAACGGCCGATAGAAGAAAATGGAATAGAAAAATTCGCTGTGCCGACCCCGCTTAGTGGTCATAAGACAAAGAAGAAGAAGAAGATTATAATATATATAGTGTGTTCCTTTTTTGTTGTTAATTTAGAAAGTCCCGATTTATGCTAGAGGTTTCTTGGAAGATATTTTTTAATTAGGAGCATGAATGAATTAGTAAATGAGACGTGTAGATTTAAGCCATTTTGTTCATTTATATTTACGGTTACTTAAACTGCTTTCAGACTACGCTATAATATAATATAATAGCATATAGTATATAGCTCATAGCACAACAATATTGCACACCATACATTGTTATGGACACGCTCACACTGAACTATACCTATATATTATTGGCTAAGTACAGGCTGCTATACTATATTGCCAGGTTTAATCATGAAACAACTATTTGAAGGGAGTGAAATAAGCGAACTTCTCGCCTCTGACTATTTGTGATTATTATTTTTGGCTTATATGGATGGACTAGCTCACAGCCCACCTGGCGTTAAGTGGTTACTGGAGCCCATAAACATCTACCTACACCTTGAGATATAAGTTCTAAGGTCTCAGTATAGTTAAAACGGCTGCCCCACCCTTCAAACCGAAACGCATTACTGCTTCACGGCAGAAATAGGCAGGGTGGTGGTACCTACCCGCGCGGACTCACAAGAGGTCCTACCACCAGTAATTACGCAAATTATAATTTTGCGGTTTTTGATTTTTAGGTTTTGAGTTTTATTACACGATGTTATTCCTTCACCGTGGAAGTCAATCGTGAACATTTGTTGAGTACGTATTTCATTAGAAATAATTGGTACCCGCCTGCGGGATTCGAACACCGGTGCATCGCTACATACGAATGCACCAGACGTCTTATCCTTTAGGCCACGACGATATAATTAGATGTGTTGAGAGTACTCGCGTGCCGTTTGTCATCCTTTGACGAAACCCTTCTTTGGACACGCTTGAAGTGCCCACAACAACTTAATCCGATTATGTTTCAACTTAATCCGATTAAGAGCACGAATGAATAGAGCCACGAAAAGTATATTGTATGTATGTACTACACATGTATACCGGAGGAACTGATTTCGTCATCACGATCATCGGTAATGTGGGCGTTTTTGTTATTCATATTGTATAGTGATAAACACAGTATTATCTTTGAAAATGTATTTTTATTGCCAAACACATGTATTATATCACATTTTGAATACCTTGAGGGGCGGTGGTAAAGTTCAAATTTGTATTTTATTATCGCTGTGCTTTAGTACTAATTCGAATGCATGACTTGTTCGCGGCAGAACTAGATAGGATGATGGTTACTCATAGTGACGCAATTCAATAGATATTCTATACGGTTTTAACGGTAGGCAGCGACTCGGCTCTGACCCTGCATTGCTGAGGTCCATGAGCGACGGTAACCACTATCATCAGGTGGGCCGTATGCTCGTCTGCCTACAAGGGCAATAAAAAAAACAATATATCTCAAAGTTCACGGTAATCAAGTGTGTTGACCATGGCGCCAGAATTCACTTCTTACCACTCAGCCCATTTAGACTAGATCTTTCTTACATTGTACTCACGTCGATAAATTGCTAAGCACAAGGCTTTTTATGAGCTTGACCTTCCATTCAATGTAAAATGATATGCGAAAAAATTACGGAAAATTAATATTTTTAATTAAAGCACTTTTGTTATTTACTTAGTCGGTTTTTATTATAATGTATGTAACTTTAAGATATACGTTAAACTTGAAAATTTGCACATGTTTAAAAGACTCATGACAATGACAATAATATTATCATTTCGGCCTATATCCTTACGACAATCACCATTATCAAAGTATAGTTCGGTTTCCAATTTTTTTTTTTTTTATTGCTTAGGTGATTGGACGAACTCAAAGCCCACCTGATATTAAGTGGTTACTGGAGCCCATAGACATCTACAACGTAAATGCGCCTCCCACCTTGAGAATAAGTTCTAAGGTCGCAGTATAGTTACAACGGCTGCCCCACCCTTCAAACCGAAACGCATTACTGCTTCACGGCAGAAATAGGCGGGGCGGTGGTTCCTACCCGTTCGGACTCACAAGAGGTCCTACCACCCGTAATAATTAAAGGGTGTTTTTTTTTAAGTTTATAACTTAGGATTTATTATCCTAGTACATAAAAGTTCATCATGTATTCGCTTAGTCACGATACCGATCGCCTTCTATCGGACTGCGTTGAAGGTTTCTATAGTTGCCGGTTTAGGTAAAGATAGATAAAGGCTGTGTGGTCTCTACAATGCATGATAAATGTCATCTCAGTAGTTTTAATAAACTTTTGCTTTTTATATGTTTATCTATTATTAAACCCATTTGGTCAAATGGCATCCAATTGTGGGGTACTGCGTCAAACTCAAATATTGAAATCCTTCAAAGATTTCAATCAAAAACGCTTAGGATGATAGTGAACGCACCATGGTATGTTACAAATGAAAGAATCCATTATGATCTTGCCATAAGAAAAATCAAAAATGAAGTAATCCATCGAGCTAAAGCCTGTTGTGTAAGATTGGAAGCCCATCCGGATAACTTTGCTAAGCATTTAATGGACAATCAAATGACTACAAGAAGATTCAGAAGAAAAGTGCCTCAAGATCTACTAGATCTTCTGTAGATTAATTGATATGGACATTGTGCATGCACCGCCGAATTTGGTTTTCTCAAAAATACGGTTGAATGTCTTACGACAGCTTACTGTATAGAATAATATTTATATAAAATAAAATTTTTAGCGATACAGCTGAGTGTGCACTGATGTGATAGATGTGTGATACATAATGTACAATTGAACCAATATCTTTAGCAGGTACGGGACATGATAAGCTGAGAGCGAGTTGGTAGAGAAACAATGGAATCGCGCAGTGCATCACGAGCGCTGGGACGAGCTCATCTCTCTCACCTGCCGCAGCGACCTCTAGTAAACATCACATTTCAAGACCTCACATACACCGTACAGGCTGGAAGAAGTGAGTACTTACTAATTGCTAATTAACTAATCACTAATTAACTGGTGGTAGGACCAATTGTGAGTCCGCGCGGATAGGTACCACCGCCCTGCCTATTTCTGCCGTGAAGCAGTAACGCGTTTCGGTTTGAAGGGTGGGGCAGCCGTTGTAACTATACTGAGACTTTAAAACTTGTATCTCAAGGTGGGTGGCGCGTCTACGTTGTAGATGTCTATAGGGCTCCAGTGACCAATTAACACCAGGTGGACTGTGAGCTCGTCCATCCATCTAAGCAATAAAAAACATTTGTGACCTCATTAAAAAGCGATTACAATTGCCTTAATTAATTGGCCTTTCAAGCCCTCTTTGAACGACGATATGATCTCTGAAATGTACCAATCCTGTTTCATTATGCTCCAAAAGAAAACCAAAATTTATTAATTCCTGGTAGGTGAACTTGTGGCTTTAATAATATAATATCTGCATTGGACACGACTGATAGCATTCTTTGCCTACATATTGTAGAAAAACCTGCTAACTGTAGAAAATAAACAGACCGGTTATTCGCCGGCAATAACTAGACTTATTGATACATAATTAAGTAAATATAAAAATATACAGAAAAAAAAAAGATAGAATATTTTTATTAAGGCTCCGTTTGCACCGAGAGCTTCGGTAGCGATTCTCGAAAACTGCGATATGTTGTATTGCCATATTGCTATATCAACGTATCAGTGCATGACAGGGATTATTATGAAAATTGCAACCGACGACGTCATTTTAACAATAGTTTTTGCACTAAACGCTATATATACAATTAATTGCGCACAAGTTCGAAATACAACCAGTAATGAATGACTAAAAATTAATTTGCCAGCTTCAATTTTAATACACGATATATTTCCGTATGTATGTATTTACTTAGGAAACTTCTGGAATTTGAATTCCGGCACACTCACCTAACACTTACTTGATACGTGTACAGCTAGAGTCTTGTCCTTAATGCCGAGACGACTTTAATGTTATTAGCAAAAAAGATCAAGAGGCAAAAACTAGAAAAACATTTGACATTCGTTAATAAGATTATGTTTGTATTGAAAATAAATTTTATTATTTTTTTATTTCAAAAACCAAACTATTCAAAGTTCATCAACGTTGCTTCACAAAGAATTGAGGTTCGGTCTTCGAGGTAGTAAAAAGTTTTAAACAAATATTCTTTAGTGGGTTCAATGAACTCACAGAGTATATCACAGAGTACAATTATTGTTCGCGGTAAAAAAAACACATTATTACTAGAGTAAAAGTTATCAAACATCACAATATTGCCTTTTTATATTTGTTTGATTAATGATTTGAATAATACCTTGACTTTTGAAATTTTGTTTACAATTCGTCTTTGCTTTATTCCGTTTAATTTTGAAATAGTTGAATATTTTTTATTTTTTTCGCTATTTAACCATTATATATTTTATTTTATTTACGTTTTGGATTATCGGGAAGAAAGTGATATTGCTTGGAATATTTTATATGTAGTAGTCAGGTCAATTTGTTATGTTTAATTATTATGAATTATTTAAAATATAATTACATATTTCAAAATAAATTTCGACATGAAAAAAAAATTTAGTCCAAAATCGAAGGCTCAATATTTGAAATTGAAGTTGCGCGTAGATTTCAAAACGGCTGAGACAAAACCGTTTTTACAATAGAGACTTTATCATCGCAAATATTATGGGGACACTAATTTATGAGGTAAATATTTTAAACCTAGTACTTAGACAGCAACGGGACCGAGAGAAGGTTAGCAGTCAATACCATCTCTACTAGTGCTAGTGCTAGTGCTAGGGCTAGGGCTAGTGTTAGCAATGTCCTAGGTTAGAGCCCCGTGAGCTCACCTACTCGCTCGGCGAGCATAACCCCTCAAGGTCACTAACATTACGTAGGAAAAAAAAAACTTTAAAAAAAACTGACACCGATTGATACAAAGATAGTGAGTGCTGTTTGGATAAAATACACCTATAAACTTCGATATTATTGATCGAAGCCTATAAATTAACTACTGGCGTGATTTCGTAATGCTGCATTTTTTGCAACAAAATACCTACGTATACAGACAGCTATTATTTTTGCTCTGGTTGTTGTTAACGAAATTTTACATCTACTAGGATGATTGTTGCTTTCATAGATGTAACAATAAAGTGTTAATAGGTATAGTGATTTTATAGTATTTTAAGAGATGTATATATATTTTACTCTAGCACATTTGGTTCGAAATTATTTTGTATAAGGACAAAACGAAGATTTCGGAGCGTGGGTCGTGTTTTGTTCCAAATAAATAAAAAAGGAGGGATTTTTAATGTGTAGCTTCTTTATTATTCAGTTCTCAAGGTCTTTGAATCGAAGCGGGTTCGAATGCTCGCATTACTTGAAGATTACTTACAAAGATGACGTTCGGAGATTTTCTTCTGTCTGTTCCCAATCCATAAAGTCTTACTATACTGTAATATTTTGGATATTGATAGGGAATCTAGATCACAAATCACCTAGTATAAATTATAGTACCTGAATGACTGAGCTTTGCTAGGTTTTTTTTTGATAAATTGTGTTTTTTAGAAATTATATTTAAATTTGAATTACATTTTGATATTATGTGATTATTATATTATTTGTTATTTTCTTTCAATAAAAAAAAAAGTTTATATTTAAGTTGACTATCGATAAAGTTGATTATTGGAAACACGAATAAAACAACATTTTCTGAAAATAAATTGTAGCTAGATCGATTTATCGCCTCCGAAATCCCCTGTATACTAAATTTTATGAAAATCGTTGGAGCCGTTTCCGAGATTCAGATTATATATATTATATAATATATACAAGAATTGCTCGTTTAAAGATATAAGATTATTCTTCGATTGTGGACGACGATTGTGTTCTGATAATATTCGCTTGCCAACGTATGCAATTAAAACTGAAAATCAAACAAATCGTCACAGTTTATTCATCAAAAAGAATAATTCATCGAGTTCTTATCAATCGAAATTAGGTTAGTCGGTTATTTTGTTCCGTTTGCATTGATATCTGCGTAAAAGCTGACCAGTGAAAAAGATACGTGGTAGATAGTGGACGTTATTGACGGAGAGCGCCTGTTAAATTTGAATTAATTGTCCCATTTTGCAGGTCAAAGGGTATTTGTTTAGTCACACAACAAATTCGAAGGCTAATGCTGGTTAATGTTTAAGTTGTCGTTTTTATTATGGAAATAATATAAAATGCGTTTTATAATTTAGCGTTTTATAATTAAATAGCTTTTTATCTCATTTTCTTAAGCTCAAAGCCCTTACCGTTAATGGGTTTTTTTTTTTTTTTTATTGCTTGAGTGGACGAGCTCACAGCCCACCTGGTGTTAAGTGGTTACTGGAGCCCATAGACATACACAATGTAAATGCGCCACGCACTTTGAGATATAAGGTCTCAGTATAGTTACAACGGCTGCCCCACCCTTCAAACCGAAACGCATTACTGCTTCACGGCTGAAATAGGCAGGGCGGTGGTCCCTATCCGCGCGGACTCACAGGAGGTCCTACCACCAGTACATACAAAATGCGTTTTATAATTTAGCGTTTTATAATTAAATAGATTTTTATCTCATTTTCTTAAGCTAAAAGCCCTCATACCTATATTACCCATCTTAATAGTAGAACACTATATCAATAAAATACTAGCGACCCGCCCTCGCTTCGCTTCGGAAACATTAAAACACACATGAAACCAAAAAAATAAAATAAAACAAAATTAAAAAAAAGTAGCCTATGTTCATCAGGGACAATGTCGGCTTCTAATGGAAAAAGAATTTTTCAAATCGGTCCAGAAGTTTCGGAGCCTATTCGAAACAAACAAACAAACAAATCTTTCCTCTTTATAATATTAGTATAGAAGTATAGATATAGATTGAACTGGTGCGTCAAGGTCAGCGCTGAGATTCGCTATTCTTTTTAATTACCTTGATAGAAAGTCAAGCATAAAGTACACTTGATAATGATCGAAAAGCGGCCATGACCGCTAATAATGCCAGAAGCCAAACTGATACCTACCCCCGAAAACTCTTTACAAACGGACATATCGCAACTCTATTCCGATATCTCAGTATTTTATAATAATAATAATAAATATTTACTAACACTACACACTAAACTTCACTGGTGGTAGGACCTCTTGGGAGTCCGCACGGGTAGGTACCACCACCCCGCCTATTTCCACCGTGAAGCAGTAATGCGTTTCGGTTCGAAGGGTGGGGTAGCCGTTGTAACTATACTGAGATCTTAGAACTCATATCTCGAGGTGGGTGGCGCATTTACGTTGTAGATGTCTATGGGCTCCAGTAACCACTTAACACCAGGTGGGCTGTGAGCTCGTCCATCGATCTAAGCAATAAAAAAAAAGAAAAATAAAAACAATCACGCCACTTTAACTGGTCCCGTGATAAGTTCGTAAAGAACTTGTGTTACAGGTACCAGATAACGGATATAAATGTAACATTTTTATTATACACATACATATATTTAATATACATCCATAACCCTATAAAAGACATTTATATTTATCATACAAATATCTTCCCTTGGCGGGATTCGAACCCGCGACCCCCTTGTGTAGTGACCATGTCACTTACCACTACACCAGACGGCCGTTAAATATTTAACTGGTGTTAGGATCTTTTGGATCAGGATGTTTAAAGAACGTCAACTGTGGGATGGGTACGCAAAGACTAGACGAGCCTTTATCGCTTTTCCATAAGAGGTTCCAGACTTCAGACAGGTCTACGCGAGCTTCGCCTATTATGAATCTGCAACCTATTTAATGAAGAGCACGTACAAAACTGACAAAGCATACGGCGCGGTTATAATTTTTATAATCTTCTAAGTTTTTTTTTACGCACACTCTATATAAATGGTGTTCCATTACTCTTCCTATAGCAATTAACTAGCTTTACTGGTGGTAGGAACTTTTTTTTTTTTTTT